TATTGTAAATAATTAACATTTTAACAATCCGTTTAAAATTATCGCATATTTAAATACATTTCAAAAAGTATTTCAAATATAATATTTCTTAGCTGCATTAATTACTCTTTAGGAATTAAATCACAATACATAATTAACCCTTCTTTAAGTTTAGCAGCAATCTCTCTTATATCTCGTGCCAAATAAGGACATTGAGCTCTTGCTTTAAGGCGTAAGCACTTCATAAGAAATCGAAATCTGCGGAGAGCCATCGTTGCCGGAAATATGTCAATGCCCGTACCATTTCCTTCCCAAAACTCAAAAATTGAAGTTCTACCTCCACGGTAAACTCCAGTTAAGTAAAGAAGACCAATCAGAGCTTTTAGTTCACATATATTTGTTAGCCTGGCATCGGAACTGTCTTTATATCTCACGGACACACGCTCGATATATACATTAGTACATTCAACAATATGTTTTATAATTTTGTCATTAAAACCAGTTTCCAGCATTCTTTTTCAGTTTTGCAACTTTCCGCATCACGAATAACTCCAGGAAGTTTTGTTATGATATTTTCTCGTCTAGTTCTAACATTTCGTGATCCGCATATCTTATTCCATTTCATTCCATCTTTGGTATTGTAATAAAGGTGTTGGTTTGACTTACCTTGTGGAATACATTCTTGTACGTTTAATTCGGAGTCTGATAAATCCAATTCGGACTCTGAGTCATGATTAGCATCTTCATGTTCTAAGTTGCCAACTATAGACTCATCGGAATCTGAATCTTCATAATTTTCTTCCTCGTCGATTGCAACTTCCTCGTAGAGACGTTGCAAAGGTTTTGCCTCTCTCTCGTAAAAATACATTGTTTTGCTAAGCTCTAAAAACAATACACTGCAAATTTTGTTTTGTACTTTCATAAAAAAAACTTACATTAAGGAACGGGTTGCGTCTGAGAGAACGAAAACAGATATATCATTAACACTATTATTGCTTCAATGCGCATTCGTAACTGAGGGATTATAACTAGCTATGTCGACTGCAGGTTAGATCAGAAAAAAATTAAGAGAAGCTAAAGAAAAAGAAGCTGTAGAGAAATGTACAGAAATAGAAAGACTACAAGCCAAGCATTACAATTTTAATGTACACAAAAAGGTCAAAGAAATACCGGGTACTTTTAAAAAGCGAACACAAATGAAACTCATAGACACCAATGGAAAATTAATCATTGACACCCCAAGAGATGAAAGACAAATGGAGAATACATTTGGAGATACTTTTTCAAGATCAAAGAACGGATTATAGGCATCCATTTTCAGAGAGGATGACGGTCCCAGACATACTTAAATCCGAGTTAGAAGAAGCAATAAAACGAATGAAAAGCAGGAAAGCTGTACGGCCTGATAATATCGAAGCTGAATTTTTTAAACTCTTCACGGCTGTCTTCAATAAAATATACAATACAGGAATCATCCCTGATAAATGGCTAGAATCAGAATTCATAGCGATACCTAAAAAACAGGGGCTAAAAAGTGCGAAGAATATCGAACAATCAGCCTAATGAGCCATATATGGAAACTGTTTCTTAGAGTCATCCATGGAAGAATTTATAAGAAGTGCGAGGAACAAATATCGGACAGACAGTTCGGCTTCATTAACGCAGTGGGTACCAGAGAGGCACTTTTCGGAGTACAGGTACTGATTCAAAGATGCAGGGACGTTAACTGCGACGTATACGCGTGCTTGATCGACTATGAAAAGGCATTTGACAGAGTTCAACATCAAAAGATGATAAACATTTTAAAAGAGGCAGACCTGGATGACAAAGACCTCAGAATAATTTCAGAACTCTACTGGAATCAGACTGCATACATGAAAATTAACGGAGAAGAAACAGATCACATAAAAATACTACGTGGAGTTAGACAGGGATGTATCATATCGCCGTTGATATTTAATATGTACTCAGAGAAAATTTTTAACGAGGCTCTTTACGGAATAGACGAAGGCATCCTTCTAAATGGTGAAAGAGTAAACAATGTTAGATATGCCGACGACACCATGGTGATAGCAGATAGTTTAGAGGGACTTCAGAGGCTAATGGACAGAATAAACGAGTACAGTCAACAGTACGGACTATACATTAATACCCACAAAACGAAACAAATGATTATCAGCAAGGAGAATATAAACGGGGCTCATCTATACATTAATGGGACGCAGATAGAGCGAGTAAAACAGTATTGTTACCTGGGAACTATTATTAATGAACAGTGGAGCAATTTACAGGAAATAAAGTGCCGCATAGGAAAGGCAAGAATGGTCTTTAACAAAACGAGCGCCATCTTCAAAAGTCACAACATATCCCTTGATACAAAAATGAGACATTTGAGATGCTATGTTTTCTCTGTGTTGTTGTACGGGGCGGAGGCATGGACGCTTACAGACACCACTATTAAAAAACTTGAAGCATTTGAGATGTGGCTTTATAGAAGAATGCTGAGAATATCATGGACAGCAAGGATCACGAACAAGGAAGTTCTAGGAAAAATGAAGAAGGAACCAGAGATTGTGTTTACGATCAAACGCATAAAATTGCAATATCTGGGACACGTTATGAGAAATCAGCACCGTTACTCCCTGCTACAATATATGTTGCAAGCTAAAGTCAAAGGTAAGCGAGGACCCGGTAGAAGGAGAATATCATGGCTGCGGAATTTAAGAACATGGTTTAAGAAAACCTCAACGGAGCTGTTTCGAGCCGCAGCGAGCAAGATTATGATTGCCAATATGATTTCCAACATCCGAAACGGATAGGAACCAGAAGAAGAAGAAGAATGTCAACGAAAGGTACCTAGACCGCTAGGGCCGTACTTAGACTCGCTGACCAAATAGAGATATTAGAAGAACTGAATGCAGCACCGAAGGGTAAATTAAGTTAAAATAATAATTTAGTTAAAACTACAAGATTTCATCCAAAACCTTGATTATTTCAGATAATTGCAAATACCACATTATTAGAGTAAGAATAGTACATTGTTTACCGGGTAGGAAAAGCTTAACATTCCTGGACGACTGTGAAGATTGCTAAGTCGAGGCGCAAGCCGAGACTTAGCAACACAGAGTCCAGGAATGTGGCTTTTCCTACGAGGTAAACATACTATTTTTCCGCAAATCGTTTAAAATTCGACAGATATTGATTGATTAAAAAAAAACGCGATAATTTTATTCCCAAATAAATGGTGCTTTGAAATTCCTAATAAAATTACTTGGGTTACTATGGAAACGTATTGAGGTTGAATTGTCAAACTTGACGCTTATAAATTTAATTGCTGGTGTTCTCGAAAGTAAAATGATAAGTGATGATGAAATTTCCATTCCTGGGACTCTAGGGACTCCCAAAGCTGGTTGAGGCAGTGTATCATGATTATCGCATGAGTAAAAATACGAGTTCTTTCTCAGAAAATGTTGTAATGGCATACTTCCTAGACCTTTGTTTAAAGATGAAATCTTCAACATTATGGGCCAATTATTCAATGCTGAAGTCAACCCTTGCACTTAAACACAATGTAGATATATCTACATACTCAAAACTTCGTTCTTTATTGAAACGGCAAGCTCAAGGTTATAGGGCAAAGAAATCTAAGATTTTAACGAAGGAAGAAATTGAAAAATTTATCCAGGAAGCTCCAGATAAAGAAAATTTAATGATTAAGGTAATTTACAAGGTTTTAATTTCTATTTAGATTATAGCTTTATTTATTTTTTAGGTGGCTGTAATATTTGGTATTTCTGGGGCCTGTAGAATGGATGAGTTAGTCCGAATGACTGTACACGATATAGAAGACTTAGAATCTAAGCTTTTAATCAGCATACCTGATTCGAAAACCAACAAACCAAGATTAATGTAATTAATCAGATCTACTTGAATGTTTATCGAAAGTATGTTTCGTTAAGACCAGAAAATATGAACAGTGACCGATTTTTCTTTAAATATCAAAGCGGAAAGGGTTGTAGACAAGTGGTAGGAATTCATCAATTTAGAAAAATGCCCAAAATAATTGCTACTTATTTGAACTTGGTAAATCCGACAGAATATACTGGTCACTGCTTTCGTCGGTCTTCTGCAACAATATTGGTTGACTCTGGTGCTGACATAACTAGTTTAAAGAGGCATGGCGGATGGAAGTCATCAAACGTTGCTGAAGGATATATCGAAGAATCGCTTAACAATAAGGTTGAGGTGGCAAATAAAATTTTTACAGTACAAAATATTCAACAAAATGACACTTCCACCCTGCATGTTGTCCAAAATGTTTCTCATAGTTCTAAGAGTGTTCCTCCAATGTTCAATAATTGTACTAAATGTCAAATTACTGTAAATATAACAAATTGATCTTAAAAATGTATTCAGCAATGACTTGATGTTTTCAAAATATAAATTAATTCCTTATAAACAATGTGTTTTCTATCATTTATGTAGAACACTAACAACTGTACGGAAATATCATTTCCTTACAGTAAGGAAATGACATTTCCTTAAAGTAAGGAAGTCCTGACTTTTTCTTCAAGAAATTTTGACAGGAATGTCAAAATTTCCTGGCGATTTGCGGAAAATAATTATTTTGAAAGTATTAGGTACATTTTCTAAGATGTCAACAACCTTGAATAGTAAATAAACAATGGTTGTTATTACAAGGGACTGTGTTACATATCTCAAGTCACAAACACGTTTTTATTCAGAACTGCTTTTTCTGAAAATAAAAATTCACGTTTATGGAAAACAATGTAACTTTTTTTGGAAATGGTTAACTGCAGAAAAAAATGTTTTTGTACGACTTTTTTGTTTTAAATTGTGTACCCATATCCATACCCTAAAGGAGTACATTATTTTCAAAGACACCCTATATATACTTTAACTGATAAGATTACAATATAGCTTATGCTCCATTCTGGAAACAAGCAGTCACAATAATTCTGATAATTTTATTGGCAATTTAAACGAACAAAACGACTTACCGTCCTCAACGAAAGTCCTTCGCCTCTAGACGTATACTTTTTTTCATAGTCTTCGTGCCAGACTGACCCGTAAATTAAATCCTTGAGGCTTCCGGTGGGATTTAGAGGGCTTACAACTGCCGCTCCCGCATCCCAGAACTCTATATCAAGTACGGGGTGGATGTACGGATGTTGCAATCCCCGAAACAAAGACAAAAGCGTGTCTCGGGTCACTTGGGACGGACTAATCGGACAAGTTGATGGGAGAGGTAGTAAGGCTAACAGTCTTTCAGCTCCTAGAATGTTATCTTGGACGATGAACCTGAAAGTATAAAATGTTTGTGGTAAGATAATATTTAATTTTAATACTTTAAAAATGAGTTTTTAAATTTATAAATGTGAAACAATTTTTTTTTATAATTCATTTCATATTTGAGTGATTTGATCAATGAGTTATAAACAAATTCTATGAACAAAACAGCCAAAATTAGGTAAATTATGTAAATTCTACCAAAAGTTTATAAGTTTTTAAACATGATATTTATAAGATAACTTTAATTTAATAACTAGAATCCGAATTTCTAAGCATTTAACACCACTTTTCATGCTTTTTTTGTTTTTTCTTTTAATTTAGATATTTGGTGCTTTATATATTATACTATCGTAGGGATTGGCTCAAGGATTGGAGCGGGGATTGTAGCGAACATTTCTAACAGTAGAATTTTGATTGATGAGTGTATCAGACGATATTTTTCTTTATGAGAGGTCTCCAAGTCGAAGGTAAACCAATGCCGTCATCTCTTTTATTGAGTCAATTTGACCCTTTTTTCAATTTCTATAGCTTCTCTGCTAATTTTTGATTTGTAGAAGCGAAACCCTACGGCTCTAAAGTTTTCAAAATCAATTTTATAACCTGTATGATGGTATCGACCTAAAGCTGAAATGCTGAATTGCGAACATGAAATAGAATGCTCATAAATCCTATTTTGGATTCTACGATTTGTTTGATCTATATAGGATCAGGAAGAGTCTGCACAAGGAATTTCATAAATTCCGTGTTGTTTATTTGGAATGTTGTCCTTGATTGATCGGACAAGAGATGAACGATTTTGTTGGGGGATAAATATTGTCTTTATTCTTCACTATTTATGAATTTTGCCGATTTTATCAGTGACACCTTTATTGTAATGAAGAAAAGCTTTCGTATGATGAGGGTTTGACTCTTTAAGTTGAGATTGAGTGGGAGATTAACGTCTGTCGGTGCTCCTGTTGAGTATTTGAGTGGGTTCCTTGGCCTGTATGAGTATGTAGGACACGTAAGGGGAAGCTCCGGTACGGGAGAGTTGGATGTGAGGTCGGACTTCAGGTTGAAAGAAGCTACGGTAGAATAAAGATATTTTAGTGGTCGGCCAAGAAAAACCGGTCAACAAGTGATATTTTACTTAAGTAATGTGCCTATTTACCATCCCTCATGATGAGATATTTGTAACACGGCGATTACAACAATTAGGAAAGATATCAACATTTCCATTGTCCAGTTTTTGAGAAGCGTTTACAGGGTGTGTCCAATGTGCCAGTTTCAACCTCAAATTGATGTGAAAACCCAGGTAAAATTTTGTGTTTAATTTTCAAATTAAAGTAGACATTTTTTTCAAATAACAATAATTGCTTTCATAACAAATAAATAATGTAATATGTATTATATTTTGTATGGTTACGCTGTCAATCTATTTGTTCTTTATCGTCAGTATAAATGTTGACATATGACAGCTAACCTTAAATTTTCTATGACGTTTGTTAATTTTGTTTTTTTTTTTGAAGGTTAACGTTAAGATGTTTCATTTTAAGTAAAAGATATCTTTAATTTTAATAATTAATTTCTGCTACATTTCCAATTTAATAACAGTTTTGTAAGTCTGCAGCAACTCCCACTTGTGAGTTTGTAAACAGATAGGATATATGTAAGTTTTTTTTCATATTTTATTTTGGTATAAACCCATGTAATTTGATTATCTGTTTGTGAAACTGTATGTATGAGACAAAAATAAATGTTTATTCCAGTTCTCTAAACTATTTTAGTTTTTAGTTTAGAAAAATTTCCTCACTCTTTTGTGTTTACTGTTTTTAAGAATGAAGAGCCTTTTTCTTCTTCATCCAGCAAGACTAAGATTTTTCGAAGCGCATCCTTCATTTTAAATTGCTAGAAGTCTTTCTTGTTGTTTTTATTTGCCCATTTGTCCGAAAGATTTATGTAAGGATCCCTTTGTTTCATTTTTTTTATAGTTGCCCCAATCCAACCCCCTTGTCATTCAAATTATTTACGACCCAGCTCTCCAATTAACTCCTGAGTGCCGTCCGCACGAGTATAGATTATTTTGCTTGCCCTATCTCCACCCCCAATAATTTCTGTCCCCAATTTTCTACCCTCATAATCTTACCCTAAGGTAGGCAAAATATTTTCGTTACACCTTTAAATTACACTCCGTCGCACATTAAGGAACAAACACTTTATTCTTTATTCGTTAAACAAAAACTAAACAAATAGTCGAATATGAAGCTGCAGGTTTTATTAAAATGTTTCAAACAAAGACGCATTTTTAGAACAACAATAAAATTTCTGCATTTATGTTTTTCAGTATAAGCGATCTCTTCTTTTATTTATTTTATTACTTTACCAAAATTGTAGCTTTACTTATTGGTACACAAAGAAGAAAAATAATTTATAATCTTTATTTAGAATAGAGACAATAATATAGCGAAGCAGTCTATTCTCTCTACCTTGGTATGAACCCCTATTCTACTAAATCCTCCCCAAAACAACGGCATACATTAAGTTAATTTGTCAACTTGTTAACCTAACGCGTTAACTTATAATTTACAAGTGTTTTGTTATTTACCTCTTTTCAACCCCAGTGGGGAGTGTTGCTGTTTCTGTCAGTAATAAAGTTACCCAGGAGTAGGTTACAATGAAACCCCTACATATTTAGCCTCGTAGTTGCACAATTAGTTTTCTATTTTTCTTGGCAAACATTAATTTGGGCGTTAGACTTCTTTGCAACTCAAATTTAGAATTTCTTTTAGTATGAAAAAAAAATTTAATTATTATAAATGAATAAAAATTAGTTCCGTTGTATTTATTATAATTAAATTTGTATTTTTAATGGCAGTAAACTTATTAAGGAATCGACTAAATTTACTAAATCTTTGATTTGTGACTAAAAACGGCACACAAAAAAATATGTCCAGAATTCGGAAGACCAGACCAGAATTCAAATATCTAAATTAAATGCCCATATCAATCAACTAGACCTATTACTAAGAAAATGTCACATAAACATAATTGAATCCAAATCTGCTCCAGTTACTGCTACGTTAAAAAAAGGTCAGTACCCATTATACAATAATCCAAAAATTACTCGGTTGAAAACTGTGATGTATTTTTGATTATATTTATATTTTGGGCTAACCAAAACAAACTTATTACTAAAAAGAGGAATTAAAGAAACACAAAAAAAACAATATTTGATTCTACTTGATCTTCTTTTTGTACTGTGGCTAGGTTTAGGCCTAAAGGGATTTAGTAAGTAGGCAAGGCAGGATGGAATTAGTTGGGTGTCGTAGCAGATTGAGATTCAACTTAATTCAAATGTTAGTGGTAAAACTATTCGAATTACTTAGACATTATATCCATTTGAATGACAACAGCCTTGATAATTACTGGCTACCAAAGACAGATTTGTCAAGATACGACCTTTTATTGAGGACATTCGTCAGAATTCTCGGAAATTTCATCTTGAAAATGGCTATTGTATTGATGAGACAACGGTGGCATATTAAGGAACACGTGTAGCTTAAGGCAATACATAAAACACAAACCCCACAAATGGGGCTATAAATTTTTCGTAATTGCTGGAGTCTCTAGATATATACTAGATTTTATACCTTACCAAGGTTCAACTACTTTTTTTGAACTAAAAGGAACTCGCAATAAACTAACAGAAAAAGAGGATTCATTGGGTGTTGGAGCCAGTGTGGTTATTTCCCTATGCAAGTCTCTCCATGAGCCTCATAACAGCATAGTATATTTTAATAACTATTTTTCTAGCCTTGCTCTTTTTTTTTCATTTGAAAAATTCAATGAAAATCTTGAGTTTAGGCACTTTACGAGCTAATAGAATTTGAGGTTGCCCAATTGACAGTGACAAGATTTTGAAAAAGCAAGGAAGGGGAACGTATGACTAGAAGGCTGAAAAAGAGAATTGTGTCATCGTTATCAAATGAGTTGACAATAAATGTGTGTTAAAATGAAAAAGACAGCAAATATTTGATTTCACGCAAACAATTCCTATGTATCTGTTGATACGTATTTCGACCTAATAGGTCTCATCAGAACAGCTATTCATAGGAGTTCTCAACGTGAAAAATTAATATTTTCTGCCTTTTAAGAAGCAACAATAAAATGGCTTCAATACGGACGCGATAGCGACATCTAATTACAAAATCCGTAAAATAGTTTCGAAACACAATTCAGATTTCTGCTTATAATCTGAGCCTTCTAAAAATTGCAAATTGCGTGAAATCAAATATTTGCTGTCTTTTTCATTTTACTTCGGATCTACTCTGTGTGAATACTAGAAGCATAATTCGCTAAGGATTTCTGCTTAGTTATAAAAGACATGTAGTGGAATGCAAATTTTAGATTCCCCATGTCCCTTTTAACATCTTTTATCAACGTCTGTTTGCCTTGCAATTTTTAGAAGGCTCAGATTATAAGCAAAAATCTGAATTGTGTTTCGAAACTATTTTACGGAAATGTGTGTTACTTGGTGGCACAGCCTATGGAGTCGAGCCAACGCGTTCAGTAAAAAGGTACTGCAAAACTGCTAAAATGAAAATCGATATTGTACGTCCATCTGTAATATCAAACTACAAGCACATGAGTGGGGTAGATAAAGCCAATGCGCTAATGGGTCTTTACAAAACGCCGTGTAAAGCTAAGCAATTTTGAAAAGAGCTTGCATCCTTATCAGTTAATGCCGGGTAAGAATGTCGACGTAGTAGACCTAGCTCTTTGAATATGGTTTCAATAAAAACAATTAAATATCCAGTTATTTCTAGACCAGGCGATACGACAAGAAAAGATTGTGTTGGCCATTGGCCTGTCCACAAAACGAAAGGGAGGTATAGGTACTGTCAAAAGGATACAAGTAGATTTCAGTTTGAGTGTGAAAAATGTAATACTAGACTTTGTATCACAGATAAAAAAAATTGTTTTGTGTCATTTCATAAGTAAGTAAGTTATGTCTTAAAACATAACCATGAAAGTCAATGTGACCATATGGTTACATTATCAAACTTTTTTATTTGTAATATATTTGTTATAAATCAAATGTTTTTACGTTATTTTGTCCGTTTTAACACCCCAGTCAAATTTTTAAATTTGTCATTTAGGATATACGCCTTTGCGCGATAAAGGGTTAATGTAGTGTATTACTGTAAGATAACTGAAAATTCAGTTAACCTACAGTATATAGACCATGTTAAACTACCCGTTCGATTCATCAGTGTTTCCTAGTTAAATTACTTTAATGAAGTTGGCTATGGGAAATTGCGTGCGAATGAACCATATGAAATTCTTGCTAAAATTAGAACTTCCCTTCACGCGAGGCAAATTATTGGGTATTAAATTAATTCTAATTAGAAATATACACACATATCAGTTTTTAATGTAAAAGGTTTTGTGGAAAATGTTAAAAAGTGGATAAAAGTGCATATAAAAGCGTTTCTGAAAACTATATATAATATAAGGTCTAAAATATAAGACTAACTTATAATATAAGGTCTAAAAGTACCTTATATTATAATAGACCTAGATAATAAAATCAAGATCAAGGTTATACAAGTGTATGCACCCACAACAAGAAATCAGGAAGAGGTAGTTGAAATTTCCTACGAACATTTGATAACAGCATTAGAAGAAAACGATACAAAGTATACCATCATTATAGGAGGTTTTAAGGCAAAATTAGGTAAAAAAGAAGAAAAAACTGAAACTAAAATATGGGTTGTATGGTTATAGCACACGAAATGAAAGAGGAAAAAAATTATATAACTTCTTAGAACAACAAAATTTATATGCCATGAACACACACTTCAAGAAACCAGTAATCCGAAAATGGACGTTACTTCTTGTGTGGGAAGACATTTTTGAAGATAATAACTGCTCTCAATTGATTTACAACTGGCAGCGATCATTTAGCGCCTTTTAAGAGTAAGGATTCTTATTAAACAGATAAAAATCAGTAGAAATATAATTATTGTAATCAGATAGATCAAACTAAAATACGACAGAAGAGAGATGAGTACAGAGAAGTCTTAAGAAAAGAATTTGTAGAACATTATCAACAAAAATAGTCCGATATAAATACAATTATTAAAGAGAGGCAACGAACGCTCTTAAAAGCAACTCTGACTGTTGCAAAGAAAATGAAAAATAAAGAAGACGGAATAAGTGATCGAACAAAACGGTTTATGGAAAAGAGACGCACATTTCTAAGCGAAAGAAAGCGAACACCAATGGTTTCAAAGAATTAAATAAACAAATAAAGAAGAGAGTAAAGGAAGATTTAAGGATTTATAATAAAAACAAGGTAGAAAAAATAATAGAAAAGAACCGAGGCCTGAAATGCTTAAAATTCTGGCAGTTAGTGTTGAGATCACTAAACAATGGTCTGAGTCTATGTTTGCGCCTTAGGAAAGCCTATAATAATCTCCATAGCCATAGATTACCTATTCCGGGTGATTTGTTTCTGGCTAGTTTGTTTACAGCGTCTTTAACTTCCAGGATCGTTGGTGGGTCCTCCTCCCTTTCGTCTGCTCCAGGTCTCTTCCAGGTCTTCTTCTTCTTCCTTATATTAAGTATCTGGTTAAAATATTCCGTCCATCGATTTAGTAGGTCTGTTCTTGTTGTTAATAGATCGCCATTCAAACTTCTACATTGATTTGTGTTTGCCTTGAATTCTTTTCTATTAAAGTTAACTTTCTTATATAATGTTCTGAATTCTTTCTCTCTGTTAAGATTTTCTATATATTGAAGTTCTCTTTTTTAAGTGGTTTCGTTTCTTTATTCTGTGTATTTTCTTTTCTTCTCTTCTCTTTGTCTGGTAATTCTCTACACTTGTTCTAGTTCGATGGGTAAGCATTTTTGCATAGGCTTCATTTTTTTTCTGTGTTGCGTCTTTGCATTTATCATCAAACCAGTGTTTTTTTGGGTACAAGTTTCTATTCCTATTTCATCTTGTGCTGCTGACTCAATATCTTCCTTTATCCTGTTCCAGTAGGAGTCTATATCTCTCTGGTCTTTTTCGCTTAGACTTTGATTCCTTAACCTATTGTTAATATTTTCCCAGTACTGTTTTGCAGCAGTTGCATCTCTCAGCTTCTGTACATTCCATTTCTTTGTATCAATTTTTTGTTTCTTTGTTGGAATTTGAAATTCTGGCCCTTAGTGTTGAGATCACTAAACAATGGTCTGAGTCTATGTTTGCGCGTCTATAACTTCTGCAGTTCGTTATGTCCATTCCGTGTCTTGAATCTATCAAGATGTGATCAATCTGACTAGTTGTTCTTCCATCAGGGAGGTCCAGGTTACCTTGTGTATATTCTTGTCTTCAAAATAGGTGCTAGCGACGGTCATGTTCAGTGCTGCTGCTAAGTTTATCAGTAGTAATTATCGTTACTCATGTTGTGCGATAATGGATTACGACTAATATCGGAACGATACGTAAGCTATTATTGGTTTCATGAATTAAGATCAAAATTATAGGAAAAGTATTTAGCATTAGGTATTTAAAATTAATTTTTGTTATTATTTTTATTAATTGTATTTTTATTAAAATTATTATGAACCTGTAGAACTAGCAAATTATCGTAAAACACTTTCCTTTCAGAAATCTGTAGATAAATAAACCATTTACTTCACTGTAAATAAATTTAACAGATTGCAAATGAATGACAAGTTAAAAAAAAATTCTTATTCTTATTTATTCTTATTTATTTTTATTCTTATCTTATTTTATGTATTCTTATCTTATTCTAAATATCTTAACAATACAATACAGAAAAGGCAAAAAAAATAATACAGAAATTCCTATAATTCCCACTTACCAATGCTTGTCGGCTCTCGAGCCAATATCGTCAAGCTGGGTTTTCAGTTCATATCGTTCGTTGTTTTCGAGATTATTTCTGCACGTAATAAAAGCTCCATTGCGGATTTGGCGTTCGCCTCGAAATTTTTCGTTTCCTCCATCTGTCTTCAGAGCGCTGTATTCGTGTTTTTGGACGCTTCCTTGTTGTCTGAAAAAAAGAAATAAGCTGAAAATATGTCTCTCTAAGCAATAATACTATCGAAAAATAATACTTTGAAAAATTTATGTGAAAGGGGGTATTTTTCTATTAAGGGGTTTTCTCAGCTTTTTGAAAAGATTGTTTAATAAATAAAAATAATACTGAATTTGATATAAAATATATGTAGGTAGTTTATATTCTTTTGTCAAATATTATTTACTGTGATATACTGGGTGACTCGTACTTATTGGGGCATAATATATGGTCACTTTTTTGGAACAGAATATGTCTCAATAAACTGTTAATGTGGGAAAGGATACAGATGTAAGTAACTTTATTTGAATCACTTATTTTGAGGTAACATGTACATAAGTGCAAAGTTTACGGGAAGACAAAAAAACTGATTTTCTTCTAAAATGATGTAGTTACAAAAATCTTTCAAATGTATGAGTTAATAGTGGATGTGTTCTTTGTACAATGCCATGGTTGTCAATTGCTTAAAGTAGGTACACTATACTAATAGAATATTTGTTTAAATTTTTTGCATTTTGCTTTTCGAAGCAAATGTGTGCGAATCCAAGAAAAAATGGAGCAATCATTATTTTATTTCAGTTTAATTCAAATAATATGAAAAAAAATTTGAAAATCAAAAGACTGATATTTTTTATACACACTTATGACAAGTCGAAAGAAAATGCAAAAAAGTATTTTTGAAGTGTGTATATTTTAGACAATTCCTAGCTGAGCGCTTTCGGCTTTACAAAGCCATCATCAGAGCTATGCTACAATAAAATGTTCTTATAAGTACTAATTGGTAAAGATTATAATTTTTAACTTACGTAAATTTTTTAATTACCACTACAAAGGAGAGATCTCATTTCCTTAAATTTCAAAATTATGATTTTTTAGGTGTTGAAATTCTTAAAATATATAAAAAACATATAAAAAGCTGACACAAACACGTTAAAAAATTGAAAAAATTTTTGTCATGGTACGGGTGTAAGAACCCGACCATTGATTGATGTGAAGACGTAGACAGAATAGAACTAATGAAATCAAATGTCGGTCCTTTTAAACGATTTTTTCAAAAGTGACAGTTGACAAATGTCATATATAGGAAATAGAGATTGTTTTTTAAATTCTTACAAAATTATTTAGTAGTTTGGAATTACTAATAGTCATCAAAGACTTTCTAAAAATTAAGTTTTTAAATTAAATTTTATGTGTTCATCACATCATACAGAATGACATTAGTTTGTAAATTCACTCAAGTCATTGCTCAAGGTCAATGCATGTTCAATCTGACAGCCATCCTTAAGAAACAAGGGCTCAAATTGTTCAACAACAATATAAAGAAGAAACATGGTATTAATGTTACATTATCTGATACTTAAGGGTATTGAGAATTGTATCTCTTGATGGAAAATTGTAAGAAATTTGCATAATTTTTTTTTTTTAAGAATGTATTTTCATGCTTCAATTAAGAATAACTGTCAACTGAATTACAAAATGTTGTAAATTTCTAATAAAGTTTAAAATTTGTTTAAAAATATAAAAGTATGAAAAATATATAATAAGATTGCATGAGGTCACCCTTCTTCCTCTAAAGTCTCCCATAATAATTTAAAAAGAGGTCTATAGTTGCAATTGAGGTTAATTTGTGTGTTTAAGCAACAATCAGGGTTTAGTTTCATTTCTTTGGATATCTCTAGATCTTCCAAGAGATTCATGAGTCTAAAGTTTTTATAAACAGTAAAATTTTACACAACATTCCCAATAAAAACTTTAGACTCATAAATCTCTTGGAAGATCTAGAGATATCCAAAGAAATGAAACTAAACCCTGATTGTTGCTTAAACACACAAATCCACAAATTGCAACTATAAACCTCTTTTTAAATTATTATGGGAGACTTTAGAGGAAGAAGGGTGACCTCATGCAATCTTATTATATATTTTTCATACTTTTATATTTTTAAATAAATTTTAAACTTTATTAGAAATTTACAACATTTTGTAATTCATTTGACAGTTATTCTTAATTGAAACATGAAAATACATTCTTAAAAAAAAAAAAAAAAAATTATGCAAATTTCTTACAATTTTCCATCAAGAGATACAATTCTCAATACACTTAAGTATCAGATAATGTAACATTAATACCATGTTTCTTCTTTATATTGTTGTTGAACAATTTGAGCCCTTGTTTCTTAAGGATGGCTGTCAGATTGAACATGCATTGACCTTGAGCAATGACTTGAGTGAATTTACAAACTAATGTCATTCTGTATGATGTGATGAACACATAAAATTTAATTTAAAAACTTAATTTTTAGAAAGTCTTTGATGACTATTAGTAATTCCAAACTACTAAATAATTTTGTAAGAATTTAAAAAACAAACTCTATTTCCTATATAATATGACATTTGTCAACTCTCACTTTTGAAAAATCGTTTAAAAGGACCGACATTTGATTTCATTAGTTCTATTCTGTCTACGTCCTCACATCAATCAATGGTCGGGTTCTTACACCCGTACCATGACAAAATTTTTTTCAATTTTTTAACGTGTTTGTGAAGTCCAGTGTCGGCTTTTTATATGTTTTTTATATGTTTTAAGAATTTCAACACCTAAAAAATCTTAATTTTGAAATTTAAGGAAATGAGATCTCTCCTTTGTAGTGGTAATTAAAAAATTGACGTAAGTTAAAAATTATAATCTTTACCAATTAGTACTTATAAGAACATTTTATTGTAGCATAGCTCTGATGATGGCTTTGTAAAGCCGAAAGCGCTCAGCTAGGAATTGCCTAAAATATACACACTTCAAAAATACTTTTTTGCATTTTCTTTTAAATTTGAAAATACCACTAATAAACTATACCCTAATTAGAAATCCTCTTCTGCTGGTTCAGCTTGCTCTGTTTTAGGCCATGTGACAATCTGGGATCAATGTTCCTTTTTTCTACTGGAATATACACCGACAGTTTCGTTAAGTCTTCAATTTTTGTATGATTAATAGGCAATTTGCCGGAATATGCAGGATATGAAACGCAGTCAGGAAGATTCACTCTGCTTTCTTGTATTTTGGCTAATCCAAAACACTCCTGGATTATTCCATCAATAAATGGAAGTGCAGTTACTTTGCCAGGAGTTTCCTTAGAATATCGAAACTCATAGAAACTGCTGACTTGAAAGGAAACTTTTTTATCAGTGGCAATGTTTTTGCCATAGCTTGATATTGACAAAACTTGCTTCTTATAGTGTTGTGGCAACAATTTTTTGAAGTCGATTACTTTTGAACAAAACGTATTTTAGAGTGGAGACCACGACAAGAAGCAATACGGAGCAGAGGACGCCGAGCCACTAACTGTACTGACGACATGAAGTATGAAACAATAACTTAATGCAAGCCGCACAAGACAGGGACAAATCGAAAGATCTGAGGCAGACCTATTTCCAGCAGTAGACGCATACAGTTTGATGATAATTTTTAGAATAGAAACACTAAGACAAAATAGAAACAAGTGAATATAATCAACAGAAATTGTAATAAAATAATTATTTAAAGAAAAATAGTGACGTTTAGATCGTAAAAAGGATAAATGAGGAATAACTACTTAGAGTCCGTGTGCGATTTCAATTTTATATAAAATATATCAGTCTTTCTCTCTCACACATATCTTAAACAATTTTACATTCCCATCAAAAACTCGTTTGTTATGAAGAACCAACTGCAAAACCTATTAAGAATCCCTTAATAGGTAAGAATTGCTGAAAACTGGATAAAAAGGACACACAATAGAGAGAGGTGGAAAAAACTTAGGAAGGCCTATATTCATCGATGTACAATTTAGGCTTTTAAGATAGATAAAGAGGAAAACAGGAGCAAACAAATGCGTTTTAGTGCCAAAACGAACTGCTTCTCCAACATTGACTTAAGTTTCGGCTTACCAAATACAGCATCCCAATTAATTTAAAGTCTCGAAAGTCCCGAAGGTTGACGATCATCAGGGCTATACGTATTTTCGAAACTGCTGACCGAAACAATTCGTTGTTGCTACAGCTATACCATTCCCGTAGATTCTTTAGCTAGGAGTTTCGTCTTCTTCCTATGGACCTTTTTCCTGCTATTTTTTCTTGCATAATTATTCGAAGCAGTTCATATCTTTCGCCTCTTATAATGTGTCCCAAGTCTTGCAGTTTTCGTTTTTTGATCGTAAATATGACTTCCTTTTCTTTATTCATTCTTCTCAAGACCTCGAAATTTGTGACTCTCTCGATCCATGATATTCTCAGGATTCTGCAATACATCCACAGTTCAAATGCCTCTAATTTTTTAGTATAAATCTTTTCCAACGTCCATGACTACATTCCGTAGAACAGCACAAAAAGTACGTAACATCGCATCAGGCGACGTTTCATTTCAAGGCTCAAATCTCTTCCGCAGAACACTCTCTTCATTTTAGTGAATATGGATCTGGCTTTTTCTATTCTTATTTTGATTTCTGCTGAGCTATCGTGCTGAGCTTCATTTATAAAAGTGTCTAAATATTTGTATTTGCTAACTCGATCGATAATTTCATTGTGTAAATATAAATTTTGGACATTTTGTGTTGATTTCGATATTACCATAAATTTAGTTTTCTTTATGTTCAAAGAAAGTCCATATTCTTCGCTGCAGTCTGCTATCTTATTCACCAATGTCTGTAGCTCTTTAAGTTTTTCTGCGATCAGAACGGTGTCGTCGGCAAATCTCAGATTGTTTAATCTAACACCATTTATTTTAATACCTACGGATTGCTTAGAGAGTGTTCTATTCATTACGTCTTCGGAATAGGGATTAAACAGGGTTGGTGACAGTATACACCCTTGTCTCACACCTCGCTTTATTTCAATTTCTTCAGTGGTATTATTCTCTACTCTCACTACTGCTTTCTAATTGTAGTACATATTTGCTATTAGTCGGATGTCCCGTTTATCTAAATTCTTTTCTGTCAGGAGTTTGAT